TTTTTTAATGATATATATTTTTTCGGTTTATTTTTTGTGTGTGCCAGTTGCTTAGTTTACTTTGTCATTGAGGCGCGATGTCCCTGTTCTCGGGTATTTGATTTATTGTATTTATATTTATTTTTTATTTCATTTTTAAAATTTTTTTATTTTTATTTATTTATTTGTGTATTTATTTTTATTTATTTTTTATTTTCATTTTAAAATTTTTTATGATTTTTATTTTTTATTTATTTTTCCCGCCTGGTCACCGCCAGGTGGCCTTTGTCTGCCAGGGGGACACGGACCCCTGTCCCCTGCTGTCCCCAGCCTTCCCTGCCCGCCCTCCTGGCACCACCTCCTGGGGACTTGAGGAGTCTGCCCCGGTTTCGGTTTATTTATTTATTTTTTTGTTTTTATTTTAAAAAATTTTATGTTTTATTTTTGTATTCATTTATTTTTTATTTTCATTTAAAAATGTTTTTAATATTTTAAATTTTATTTATTTTAATTTATTTTTTCATTTTTTAAATTTTATTTGTTTTTTATTTTCATTTAAAAAGTCTTATATTATTCTATTTATTTACTTTATATTCTTAATTTTTTTATTTCATTTTAAAATTTTTTATTTTTTATGTTATTTATTATTCTGTGTATTTATTTTTTATCTTATTTATTTTATTTTCATTTTTAAAATTTTTTTATTGTATTTCATTATTTATCTTTCTATTTATTCTACATTTTCATTATTTAACATTTGCTTGATTTTTATATCTTCTCCCTTATATTTTTGATCTTTTTACTTATTTTTTTATTTTCATTTTTCAAATTTCTTTTCTCTATATACTTGTTTAATTTTATGTTACTTATTTATCTGTTATTTGTTATCCTTTATCTATTTGTTTTTTATTTCGGCTGCCGCTTTATCGGGGGTACGCGGCTATTTCTAGGTTTCCATCAATCTTTTCTCATCACCCTATATTCTTTTAATGATACCAGTCACTCGTACTCAATTTTCGGATTTCAATCTTCTGCTTTGTTGTGTTCGCCGTTGCGTTAGGTTATACATTCTGTCATCTGAGGCGCGCTGTTTGTTTTTCGGGGGTTGTAGTCCCAGATATTTTAGTTTTTTTATTTATATATTTTTTAACACGATTTCTTATCATTTTAGCTGTTTACTCTTGGAAGTTTTTAGTTTTTCTCTATTCCTTGCTATCACTGCGGATTCTTCGCCGCCATACACAGGCGTACACTGTTCTTTCTCGGGGAGGGACAGAGTGCTCTCGCGCCCGGAGTGGGCGCCGTGGCGTCAGCCTCCGCCGCTCAGCACAGCAGCCTCCAACTCCTGGCCTCCCCAGCCGAGCCCTCCCTGCCTCCACAGGGCCTCCCTTTGAGCTACCTGGGACTCCGCAGGCATGCCGCCCACACGCCCGGCTTCATTTTTTCTCCTATATCACCTTTTTAGTTGTCCAGCCTCATTTCTTTTCTATTTTTAGTAGACGACGGGGCTCATCGGCTTCCTTTGCTAGATGCAACCCTGGCCTCCCAACTCCTGGCTCCAGCGAATCTCCGGCCTCAGCCTCCTCAGACGTAAGCTGGAACTACAGGCACCGCGCCCAGCACCCGATACCCCCCAACCGCCCGGCCTCATCTTTTTTCTCTCCAATATATCTAGTCGCTTGGCCGATCTGAACTCTCTTTCTATCTTATAGTAAGAGGGACGGCGTTCGGCTCCCTTGCTCAGGCTGGCCTCAACCTCCTGACCTCGAGCGATCCTCTCGCCTCGGCCTCCCAGAGTGCTGGGATGACAGCCGTGAGCCACTGCGCCCGGCTAATCATTTTTATATGTTTTTACCTGTCCAGGTAATTTCTCTCTATTTTTAGTGGAGACGGGGTCTCGCTCTTGCTCATCAGCCTGGCCTCCAACTCCTGGCCTCGAGCGATCCTCCCTCCTCGGCCTCCCTGAGTGCTGGGATGCCAGGCGCGAGCCTCCACACCCTGTTGTGCATGGGGGGGGGAGCAGGAGGAGGCAGGCGCTGAGGTCCGGGTTGAGGCTGGTTCGGCCTCACGAACTGCGTTGCCCTCTGTCCTCCAGGTTGGGCCTCCTCGTCTGAGCTCAGCTGCTCCCAGATGGTCGGCACGGAGACCCGCCAGCGGAGGCCGGACAGCCATGGCCGGCCGGGGGACCCGGGGCTGTCACACCCGCTAGGCTCGGCCGGACCTCCCGCCGCAGCCTCCGAGCCGGGGCCTCCGAGGCCCCCCGAGAGCCCAGTGGAGGCCGCCACAGCCCTGGAGGCTGAGCCTCGCCAGGAGACGGCCTTCTCGATCGGCCTCCAGGTGACCGTGCCCTTCATGTGTGCCGGCCTGGGGCTGGCGTGGGCGGGCGTGCTGCTGAACCGCTTCCAGGTAAGTTGAGTCACAGCGGGACGGGACGCGGGACCCGGGAAGTGGGCACCGTTTAATGTCACCTGGGGTCCCCAATGAGGACCCAGCCGCCTGCCCGGTCCCCGGGGGGGCCCCTCGGAGGCCGCTGTTCCCTGTGTGCTGGGCAGGAGTCAGCCTCCCAGTCCTGGCCTCAAGCCAGCCTCCCGCCTCGGCCTCCCTCCCGAGTAGCTGGGACTCCAGGCACGCGCCTCCACGCCCGGCTCGTTTTTTCTTTTCTTTTTTAAATTTATTTTATTTCTTTTTTGAGACAAGAGTTTCGCTCTGTCGCCCAGGCTAGAGTGCTGGGGCGTCAGCCTCGCTCACAGCAGCCTCCAACTCCTGGCCTCAAGTGATCCTCCCGCCTCAGCCTCCCTCCCCAGGAGCTGGGACGACAGGCGTGCCCCACCGCGCCCGGCTCATTTTTTTTTTTCCTGTATTTTTGAAGAATTTCTTTCTTCATTTCTAATTATCAGTAGAGACGGGGTCTCGCTCTTGCTCAGGCTGGCCTCAACCTCCTGACCTCGAGCGATCCTCTCGCCTCGGCCTCCCAAGGTGCTGGGATGACAGCCGTGAGCCATTGCGCCCGGCTAATCATTTTTATATGTTTTTACCTGTCCAGGTAATTTCTCTCTATTTTTAGTAGAGACGGGGTCTCGCTCTTGCTAATCAGGCTGGCCTCCAACTCCTGGCCTCGAGCGATCCTCCTGCCTCGGCCTCCCTCCCGAATAGCTGGGACGACAGGCATGCGCCTCCACGTACGGCTCATTTTTTCTCTATATATTTTTAGTTGTCCAGTTCATTTCTATTTTCAGTAGAGACGGGGTCTCGCTCTTGCTCAGGCTGGCCTCCAACTCCTGGCCTCGAGCGATCCTCCCTCCTCGGCCTCCCTGAGTGCTGGGATGCCAGGCGCAAGCCTCCACACCCTGTTGTGCATGGGGGGGGGGAGCAGGAGGAGGCAGGCGCTGAGGTCCGGGTTGAGGCTGGTTTGGCCTCACGAACTGCGTTGCCCTCTGTCCTCCAGGTTGGGCCTCCTCCTCTGAGCTGAGCTGCTCCCAGATGGTCGGCACGGAGACCCGCCAGCGGAGGCCGGACAGCCATGGCCGGCCGGGGGACCCGGGGCTGTCACACCCGCTAGGCTCGGCCGGACCTCCCGCCGCAGCCTCCGAGCCGGGGCCTCCGAGGCCCCCCGAGAGCCCAGTGGAGGCCGCCACAGCCCTGGAGGCTGAGCCTCGCCAGGAGACGGCCTTCTCGATCGGCCTCCAGGTGACCGTGCCCTTCATGTGCGCCGGCCTGGGGCTGGCGTGGGCGGGCGTGCTGCTGAACCGCTTCCAGGTAAGTTGAGTCACAGCGGGACGGGACGCGGGACCCGGGAAGTGGGCACCGTTTAATGTCACCTGGGGTCCCCAATGAGGACCCAGCCGCCTGCCCGGTCCCCGGGGGGGCCCCTCGGAGGCCGCTGTTCCCTGTGTGCTGGGCAGGAGTCAGCCTCCCAGTCCTGGCCTCAAGCCAGCCTCCCACCTTGGCCTCCCTCCCGAGTAGCTGGGACCACAGGCGTGCGCCTCCACGCCCGGCTCGTTTTTTCTTTTCTTTTTTAAATTTATTTTATTTCTTTTTTGAGACAAGAGTTTCGCTCTGTCGCCCAGGCTAGAGTGCTGGGGCGTCAGCCTCGCTCACAGCAGCCTCCAACTCCTGGCCTCAAGTGATCCTCCCGCCTCAGCCTCCCTCCCCAGGAGCTTCCACGCCCGGCTCATTTTTTTTTTCCTGTATTTTTGAGTTGTCTAATTTCTTTCTTCATTTCTAATTATCAGTAGAGGCGGGGTCTCGCTCTTGCTCAGGCTGGCCTCCAACTCCTGGCCTCGAGCGATCCTCCCGCCTCGGCCTCCCTCCCGAGTAGCTGGGACTCCAGGCACGCGCCCCCACGCCCGGCTCATTTTCTTTCTCTCTATATTCCGAGTGGTCCTCCTCATTTCCTCCGGGTCGGGGTGGTGACCGGGGCTGGCGTCGCCTCCCCGCAGAAGGAGGCGGGAGGGGCCTTTGCCAGCCCTTCTAGAATCTTCCAGACGTTTCTGGAAGAGGCCGTGAGTGCAGCCCTTTCCCCTGCAGCCTCGAGTCCCCCCCCCCGGGGACCCCGGACTGGGGGTGACCACGGCGGGCGCGAGTGGCTTCCTTCTTGGGGCCCCCCGACCTTGAGCAGTGACACTTCCTGGGGCCTCCATGGACGGAGGCCGGCTGTCCTCCCTTCCGGGCCTCCGCTCTGTGCCCGAAGGCGGGGGCGGCCAAGGACACGCGGTTGCAGGGGACGGGGACAGGCTGTCCCCACGCCAGCTCCGTGTCCAGCCCGGGCCGGCGTGGGCGGGACTGCCGGGCAGCTGTCAAGGTCGAGGCCGGGACGTTGAGCCTCCGTGGGAGGCCCTGGCGGGACAAGAGGCCACTGTCTCTTCGGGGTGAGGCCGTTGGGGGCCGAGGCTGGCCGAGTCCCCGGCCGTTTTTTTGGCTCCGGGCGGGGGAGGGGGTCACAGGGCGCCATTGTTTCCCGCCGGCCTCAGTTGGAGGACGGGCCTCCAAGGCCAGCCTCCCTCCCCCCCCTGGGGTGAGGCCCTCGGCGGCGGTCGCAGCAGTGGCGGCCTGAGCATGGCGGTCACCCGGCTGCAGCTGGAGCTGAGGTTCCGGGGCCGGAGGCTGCGGGGCGTGCGCTGCCGGCTCACCCGCGGCCCCCGCGGCCTCCGCCCTGAGTCCCTGGTCGCCGTCGCCTGCCAGGTGGCCCTGCCCGTCCTGCTGGCCGGGCTGGGCACGGTGACCGCTGGGCTGCTCATGGAGGCCGTGCAGGTGCGTGTCGGGGAGGCCGGGAGGCAGGGAGGCTGGGAGTCCGGGAAGCAGGGAGGCAGGGAGGCTGGGAGGCTGAGAGGCTGGGAGGCAGGGAGGCCGGGAGGCTGAGAGGCTGGGAGGCAGGGAGGCCGGGAGGCCGGGAAGCAGGGAGGCAGGGAGGCTGGGAGGGCGGGAGGCAGAGAGGCTGGGAGGCAAGGAGGCTGGGAGGCTGAGAGGTTGGGAGGCAGGGAGGGAGGCGTGGGAGGCTGGGAGCCCGGGAGGACCCCAGGGCAGGCAGGGAATAAGGGGGAGCCTGGGAGGCCATTACAGCACGGAGGCAGGGAGGCTGGGAGCGTGTGGGAAGGGAGAGGACGGCCTGGACAGGCAGGAAGCAGGAGGCCAGGGAGGGCCAGGGACGCAAAGCAGGCAAGGCGAGGCCCCGCGGCGGGCAGGAAGCGCTCAGCAGGACCGGGAGGCAGGGAGCAGGAGGACTGGGAGACCAAGGAAGGCCAGGGAGGCGCAGGGAGGCTGGGAGGCAGGGAGCAACCAGCGCAGGAGAGGAGGGGCAGGGGGCTTCGGGACTCCAGTAAAAGCAGGGAGGCAGAGAGGCTGGAGGCTCGAGAGGCTGGGAGTCAGCGGAGGCTTTGCGGAGGCCGAGCCAGCAGGGAGGACAACGGAGGTCAGAAGGGTGGCGAGGCACGGGAGCGCCTGGGAGGCACGAGGGACAGGCTGGGAGGCTGAGAGGCTTGGGACAGGCACGGGAAGGCTGGAGGCAGGAGAGGCAGGAGGTAGCGAGCTGAGAGGCTAGGAGGCAGGGAGCCGGCTGAGAGGTTGGGAGACAGGGAGGCTGAGAGGCTGGAGGGCAGGGATGCTGGGAGGCGCAGGAAGGCACGGAGGCTGGGAAGGCCAGGAAGCAGGCAGGACAGGGAGGCTGGGAGGCAGGCAGGCCTGGGAGGCAGGGAGGCTGAGAGGCCTGTAAGGCAGGGAGGCCCGGGAGCGAGGGAGCCAAGGAAGCCCACCGGAGGCCAGGGAGGCTCAGAGGATGGGAGCAGGGAGACCAGGAAGCCGAGGGAGGCTTGAAGGCTGGGAGGCAGGTAGGCGGCGCGGAGCGCAGGGAGGCTGCGGAGGCTGGGAAGGCAGATAGGCAGGAGGCTTGAGAGGCTCGGGAGGCTGAGAAGGTTGGGAGGCCAGGGAGGCAGGGCATGGGACGCAGAGAGGCTGGGAGGCCGGGAGGCCTGGGACAG